AGGGAAAGTTACTCTCTGATACTATATTTGATTGTGTCAGGGTCTGTATGCATATTAGGTATGTATTTTCTCTCTCTGTACATCTACACAAGGAATAAAGTGTGCTGCAGTTAAAGAACTCAACAGAGAACCAAATATTATATTCTCTTTTTTTCTATTCTGTTCTAACTCAGAGTAGCTGATTATTCCTGGTTCTTCCACATTTTCATGTGTGAGCTTGGGAATCTCATGCCAAAGTTTTGTAATCCACATGACTACAAGGAAAGCAAGTTGTGAAACTGGATGCTCTAGTGTGCCTGAACATTTTAAAAACCTTGGAAGAAAAGCACTTGGACAGTAGCAAAGGATTAATATTATTTCATTGTTAGGTTGCTATTTATGCAGGCCAAATGCAGGCATTTTGCTATTAAAACAAATGGATGAATTTGAGCCACGGTGTCAGGCAATTAAACCTCATGCAAAGCTTTGAAAATGGTAAGCCAAGTTTACCACTCTTTTCTGAAGCTCCAGAGGATTCCGGTTCTCTGGCAGCAGTGGAAACCTGCTTTACAGAGAGAGTATTAGCTATACCCAGGGCTCATGCAGACCTGCCTTAGTCAGTCTTCTTGATGTGCAGCCCTCTCGGAAGGTTAGGAAGTGAGAGGGATGTTATGTGCTTGATTATTGTTTTTTTGATAGAATAGCTAAGAATTATTTTCTTGGTGCTATAGTAAATTCCTGTAAATTTTTTGATATTTCAATGTTGTCATCAGCAACAGTGAAAAGCAGATGAGAGAAACTACACTAGCTCTTTGTACCAGAAAAATGATGCAAGTACAAGTCAGACCCAGAAGGAATTTCCTGTTTCTTCCTGTTTGTCCTTTAATTTTGAAGTCTTCTATTTTATAATACTGCCAACTGGAATACAGCCACCAGGGGCTCTGCTGTCTTGTCAGTCTCTTGTCTGTTCTTGGCTATTGAGAAAGACTTCCTCTTCATGTCAACATGTCATAACATTTAAACTTAACTTGTAGCTGTTGAGTAACCCTGGACTACAGTTTACCCATAACTAACTAATACTGTCACAGTGGGGACTTGCCCCCTTCTACGTGATTATTGATTATCCTCAGTCAATTTTTACCAACCATTTTCTAACCATGTCAAACATGAGGTAATTTAAGGAAAATACACTTACATTTAAAATATAGTAAATCTGGAGTGGAAAAGAAATATGTCACTGAAGATAAGCTCCTTAAAAAGACTGATGAATTGCTGAAGTATTCACAGCTCATTCCAAGAATGCAGCAAAAACATTTCACAAAGGATAAGCAAAATGAATAAGCCCTCCAAAATGCCTTGGCAGCCAAAGGGACCTTCAGCTGGGACTTGTTGAAGTAGATGTTTCACTATTGGACTTTCGTTCTAATTACTATTACTCAGAAAAACAATAAAAGTCTAAATAAAAATTCTTACATAAAAACCTACACAAGTCACTATATGCAATCAATTCCCATTATTTCTGGGCTTGCTTTTGTTTACAGACTTATTCATACCTTCTATGATACACAATATTTCATGTCAAGACTAGCAGACTAGCAGATGAGGCAGGGATTGCATGTATCATCCATTAACAGAGAAGGACAGAACCACTCTTGGATGATGGGTAAAAAATTCAAAGACACTGCACAAAAAAAGACTTAGAGAGTCAGTGGGCTCTAAGTGCCTCAATACCCTTTTCAGTGAAGGTTTGTCGAATGGGGTCCTAGCAGAGTCAGAGCCCCTCTGATGACACTAATGTGATTGCAGGGTGATGCAGGAACATTTCATTGCCTCTGGAATCTTTGCCATTCACACTACAGCCTGCTTATGTTCAATATGCATACTTGAAAATCTTTCTTTTGGTCTGTTGAACTTCGGAATACAGGATGAAAGACCTCCCAGAAATGGAGTATGTTTATTTCGAGTCTTATTTAATTTACTTTATACTAAATATGGGCTTGAAACAAAACCTCAAATCCAAACACCCAGAAATTTCAGTAAGGAGGCTGCAATCTCAATTTAGATTCAAGTTCTGTGGTTTGGATCCATCCCTTTTTCATATTTTCTGGAACAAAAGACTTGGCCTCATTCACTCTCCTGGAAAAAAAAAAAAAAAAGAAAAAAAAAAAGGAGGCTTTCTTACTGGTAGCCTGAAAAAAAGATGCAAGTTTACTTTTGTTTGCAGAGAACCAACAATATGAAATATTATTTTTTTTAGGCAACAAAAGTAATGGTGAGTGTAATTCCCTTGAGAAAATGAAAACTGTGTATGGAAAATATTTCTGGAGAGACACTGAAGAAAACAGTACAGAAAACCTAATTGAACATAAGGACTGTTCAATCCCTAGTTAGTGTTCATGACAAAGAAGCCCAAACTGCATACACTGTGTGGAAAACCCTCCAGTGCTCTGGGTCAACCATGCATATCTGATGAAATAGAGGAAGGGAGATTATTCCAAATTTCTGTATAACACAGTGAAAAAGCAAGCATATCAACCTATTCAAATAAGCCCCCACTTGGAAGAATAAACCATCAAGACTGACTCAACAGCTGCACTTCCATCTAAAAATGTTTTCAGATGGTAAATCAGTAAAAATGCATAAACGTGACCGTCAGGAGAAGACCCAGGAATTCGAATTATTGATGTCTAGAAAGAGTGCTTCTATTTAATAATCTTGTTTCTTCAAATCAAGCCAAATTACAAAAAAAAACCTGAAATCCCTAATGGATGAGCTGAGCAGAGGAGGTATCTTTAATTGTTATTCTTCTTTGAAGCAGTATTTCAGAACAAGGATTAAATTTTCTCAGTGCAAGCATAAACAGGTGCAGAATCGACTCATCACAAAAGCAATAAAGCACAGAAAAATGGCAATGGGCAAAAAAGAGTGAGCCTCTGTATTAAGTTTGCCTATTACCTCCATAGAAAAACACAATAATCTTTGCAAAAGGAGGATGGAAACTACTGATTGATGTTGTTGTCCCATGCAAGGGGTTGTTGGGACAGGGATGTCCACCTGCCTGCAAGTCATCTTGTCAGTCCCAGAATCTGACGCAACAGCATTGCCACAACCCCACCAAATCTGTCATACTGAGAGGGAGGCTCTGTTCATGTGAGACATATCAGCTTAGGTGGTGTTACAGTTCCCACTGATTTGCCAGATTCAGGCCAGATTCATGCAGTTTACATTCCAGCCTGTGTTTAGCGTTCCCTTTAATTTGGTTCTAGGCCTGCAGAGATGCTTTGAAAATGGGAATTGTTTTTTAGAGGCACTCAAGGTGGGTCTCTGGACCTGAGTATCTACCTGCAACCAGTGATTCAAAGACCCTGTGGTCATCTGGAAAAAATCTCTCAAATTCTCAGCACAAAATAATAGGATTTATTTACTTGTTTAGAGCAAATCAGAAGAAAAAATAGTAAATAGTGCTTTTTGTTGTTTTTTTTTTTTTAATCAAATATTTCATTTAAAGTATGACTGCTTTTGTCTCAAAAAGAAATAAACCAAATACTATTCCCTGCAGGTGAACAAATGTTTTATCTCAGAAAAACATTTAAGCATATGCTTAAGTCAGCCTATATTCAAGAGATCCTCTTAAATACAAGCCAAGTACTACAAGTTCCCTTGGACAGACCATCTTCCAGGTTTTTAAGTGTCTGAATGATAAAGAAAACCTCCTGAAAGACTTCTCAGCTGGAGTGAATTGTCCTGGTTCCATGCAAGGCAAGAAGCTCCCATACTTGGTTCATCCTCCCTCATCTATAGATAAAGAACTCTCTCTGGCTTCCACTGAACTCACTGACAGTGTTGCAGTTCATTTCATCAGGAGCAGGAGCCAGCCAGAAATATGGTCAATTTGATGAAAATGCAATGCACATGTTAAAATAAAGTAGGATCACATCTGCATTTTGTCTGCATGCTAAATACTAATGTGAATTTTTTAGTGTTCTTTTGAAATAAAAAATAGTTTGACTGTTCTTTCCAAAGGAAACTTGGCAGCAGTAAAAACTAGATGCAAAATTTAATGTTTGAAAAATTCAGGCCACCAACATTGATTAAACAGTCTAAAATGATGTTGTTGCTCTGGGAGAGTTCCACACTGCCTGATCCTTGTTATTTTCCTTCAAATCCTGGGTTAAAAAAAAAGAAGTCAGTGAAATCAAATATTTAAAGAGCCAAACTATAAATGTATATTTTTAATGGGCAGGCAGACTTCCATTGTGCTAAAACCACAAATCATGGAAAAAATAACTCTGCCCCAATAGACAGACTGACCAACATCTAGAGAATGCATATCTCTCAAATACATGTAGATATTTGTCTTTATAAGAGAAGAAGCTATTACTCTTAAGGAGCATAGCCATAATTGAATCATCAGGTATCTCCCTTGCATATGAAGATAAATAGCATATTTAACTAAAGATGTGGCTTTTGTCTCTCATTCTCTCTCTCAGAATCTCATTTATAACCAAGCATTTATTCACCACTGCAGAAAAAAATGAGAATTTTAGAGTCATGCACGTGTGTGAACATACAGTCACTAATCATAGTGATAGTAATGCAACCATTATGTTCTAAATATAGACTAAAAAGTATGTAGCCATTAAAAAAAATATATCTGTGAATCCTTTTCGAAATATTATATTTTAATTTCTTTAGTTTGTGCCAAACCTTTGCTATGGATGCTGTCATTCTTGCTCTCCTAGTGTCAGTAGTTCAGCATGCTCACTGGTTGGAGCATTTCTATGGTACATCATATAACTGAATTGTAAGGGTGTATTTTTGAAATATACTTCAATTTGTGGAGAAATAAATCTGGGGAACACTGAGTACAGCCTGTGGAGTAGGTTATACCAATGCAATCACAACAAAGAGAAAGAAAATACAGAAATCAACCACACATTCACCTTAGGTTATATGGGACTGGTTTTTTGTGCGTGTTTGGTTTGGTCTTTTTTTCAGTTTAGTAGCTGTGGCCTATTTTAAAAATAACAGATTGGTTATGGTGTAAAATAAATCAGATAGTCATCTCTACATGCTCCAGATTATTTGAGAAGTCAGTCACACCTTCAGTTGGTTTTTTTGGCTACTTTTCAAACAACTTTTACTATCTTAATCCAGATCAATTCCAATGAAAACAATAAATTTAGAAACTGTTTTCCCATTTCCATGCAATTTTGATGTATACATTGTCTAGGCTGCTCATTTCATCACTCTTGTCTACTCCACTTTCCTTGGCTTGCTTATACATAATGCAGGACATGCAATGATCAGAGCACTTCAGCCCATGCTTATCTTCCCTTTTGTCTCTAGTATCATGAGTGGGATTCACATGCTTGAAGTTGGGCCCATTACTAAAATATCTGACTAAATGGAGACAGTGAACAATATAAAAACCTTTTAACAGGGAAGCTATGTGTCAAATACAAAGCATCACAGGAAGGCAAGTATAGGAGAGAGAATGTGCATGACTTCAAGATGCCCAGATTTTAGGAATTCAGGTTAAGGTTTCCATGGTGATGCTATCTTCATCTACTTCCTTATGAACTTGGGTCTCTGCTGAGTTCCACCCACATAAGTAAAGGATAGAACAGAGTCAAAAGTTCTCAGTATATTTCCAGGTAAATTGCAACAGGAGACATGACAGTATTCAACTTAACTCCAGTGCTTTGCATCCTAACATGTCAAAGGATTAGTTTTTTTCCTTCCATGTCCCTTTCTTTTCCTAGTTCATTTCTCAAAGGAAAACCCTGATTCAAGAGTGTGGATTAGACAAAAATGGTATTTTATCCAAGATATTTAACACAGGCACCATCAGCGTAAGATCCAGTGATCAAGAAGGTGGTTCTGCAGCCGGACAATTGCACAGTCTGAGGGTTGTGCAAACAAACCTTTCTCCAGTTGTTTTCATATGCACCTACTTATTCACGGCCCTGGAAAATGGTAGATCTCTGGCCCTTGTTTTGTCTTACTTGCTAGTCCTCTAGTTTGAAGAACACAACCTAACAGGCAATTTAAAGTGCTGGAGTGGTACAAAGAGGCTGCCATAATGGTGACAATTTAGACCAAAAATCTTTAGCTCAAGGCAAAGTAACAAAGCCTTTATAACCAGACTGCCATGATTTCCCATTTTCTCTACTTCATGATACATAAGCTGCTTGCCTTCATTTTACAGACTCTTTGAGGCCTCTCTCTGCCCAGCCAACCTGCAATTGTTTGCTTAGTTCCTAGCAGTTGATGCCTGCCTCTTCTAGCTCCGGTTTTGCCATTTTTCACTCCATTGTTACATTTTCAAACAAGTCCCTTTGGGTTCCCTTCCATGTCTCTGCACTCACAGAGGGGAAGAATTTCCCATAAACATCTGCAAAACCACTTCATTGGCCTGTGTCTTACTCCTTTCTAAAACTCTGCTTACAAACAGCTTGCAATCAGCCAGGCTGATGGTTCGTTAATGCAACCACCTGTTACACCAATCAGTTTTGGTTAGCTGTTTCTTTATATTCCCTCACATTCATTTATCTGTATCCTAATCTATGGCTGGTACAAACTCGGGTAACAGAGACCATAAAAATGAATGAGGCAGTTGTGCAGAAAATGTGCATTGTCATGAAATGGTATCAGCTGTGATAGCATTGTCACAAAATGAAAACACTGCATGAAATACTGATCTCACTGACAGGTCAAAACTCTTTCACTTCAGTGAAACCCTCAGTATTGCCCTCTGTCATTACATTTTCAGGTTCCCACGTGTTTTGGGGCAATATTTTTCTTCATCAGCAAGGATCAGAAACCTCCTTCTCTGAAGTGATTTTGATTGTATTACCTGTTGGCCACTATCTTATCTGGTCTTCATTCTCATTTCTCACCTACCTGTTCTGCAGTGCAGAATTATGGGTCTATATGTTGCCAAAAATATTTATGAATGTTGTCAATAACTGATAATTATTGACAGTGAGAATGTTACTTGAAGCACTTTGTCAGAATGAATCTGTAAATTACCAACAGCTAAGCTGATGAATAACCACGAGTGTTTTGCATTTATCATCTTACCTCAAGCAAAGCAGACAATCCTTATAGAAATACTGCTGTACAACCCAAGCTGGCCAAAACCAGCTTTGGAGTTCAAAAATGCCCACTCATGTTTAGGCTGAATATTCACTATTTTCTATGCTTTGTTTCATAAATATAAATAACCATTCGGAGGATTTCCCCACACACACACACACACATATCTCAAATTGAAAAAATAAGAAATGTTTTTGATAAGTGAGAAATGCTCTATGACATGAACATGCTGCTTCTATTAACCCATTCTTGGCATTTGATTTTTTTGTTCATTTTACAAGAAGCTCAGGCTGCCCAGATCATGAGAACGTCTCCTTTTCCTTCCCATTTCCTCTTTCTCTTTTTCCTCCAAAAGCTCAGAACTCAGCTGACATACCCTTGACATTATTTTAAAACACCTCTTGACAGTCTTGTCACAAGAGACAGGGCTGTTCTTTTTAAAAAGCAAAACTCACAGGCAATTTAAAGATTGCAAGCTACAGCCCGGGTCCCACTGGAGGCATCAGGCTTTCCCAGGTGTGCAAACAGGTTCACAGAAAGTTCAATTGTTCACCGCAAAATTGAAAAATGAAAAGAAGCAAGAAAGAAGGGGTCTGCCCCCCCAGCACACACATCCATCTCTCGCCCCCCGTGCCTCCCCACGAGTAGGCAGACTGTACCCCATGCACATAGGAAATGGTCCCGGCGAGGCTCTCGGCGCAGCATGCACGCGCGGGAGGGAAGCAAAGGGCAGGGGATGCCTTCGCACGGTCTGATCATCACCATAAAGAGTTAAAGAGAGAGTGAAATGGCTAACGTACACACACCCCGCTCCATACCGGAGAAGAGTCTCCCAGCTGAGGTTTATGCTCTGTGAGGACCAGGCTGAAACTGACCGCCCCCACGGCCACGCTGGACACCCCTAACCCTATCTCCAGCACGGAGAGCACCAGGAGGCTCCCGATGATCTGGCTGCTGGTGCACATCCTCCCTCGGTCATCCTTCCTTCGCGATCAGCCGGGGAAACCGCTCAGCCGCCTTCTCCTCCAGCTCTCCCTC